ATTAAAAATATAAAATAATTATTTACTTGATCCATTTTATATTAACTTTATTCTAAAAACTTGTAAATTGGTCTTATATACCGAAATATATATAATCCGCAATTTTCCAATATTCTAATTAAGGTGAAATCCAACACCCCAACAAAATTGCCACTCAAACTGTAACAACAGTTAACTCCTTCTTCCATTTTTCACCTTTTCTATTTCATGATAAGCGTTTCCATGGAAAACGCATGTCAAACTTTTAAGAACACACACACTAAACAAACTGTAATAAACCAAACTTTCTAAGGATTTTCTCGCATTTACTTCCATTCATGGTTTTCGTGGAAAACATAAGAAGAAAAAAATTACGTTCAAAACAAAAAAGTTTTCTTGTTTTACATTCTCTCCATATATATATAACTTGCTCTTTTTGTGTATGGATTTAAAGGGACCACATTTCGTTTTGTTTGCGAAACAAAGTAAGCTCGTTGAAAAGGAGGGGATTTTGTTTTTGTTCTCAGGTATTTAGTTATGGTTTTGTTATTTCAACCACTTTGTTAGCCATCTCAGCAAAGTAAACTTTTGTCTATCGTTTGTAGTGCTTGTGAACATTTCCAGGTGTTGTAATAAAAGAAAACAAAAGCTTAGCACAAAACAAACGAATATTGCGTCGTAATAATCTGATCCCTTAGAAATTATGTAAGGTACATAGAATATATTTATGGTAACGAATATGCAAAACCATATTTGTTGAATATGGGATATAGAATTAATGAAAATTAGTTCCGGAGAATAGTATTTCTACATCTATGTATATAAAAATAAATTGAATTGTGTTAGAAATTAATGTTCTCTGTAATGCGTGAACCTATTTTGTTTCTGCAGACTTTATATGAAAGGTGAAGTCAATACCTATGTTTTTATGTGCAAAAATTTAGAAAATTTACAATTCAAAATTGTAAGTCAAATTGAAAAAATCGCATGCGAAGAAAAAATATGACAAAAATTGAGAAAAAATCGATACTTTTTTATTGGTATATTTTTCCGCGATTTTCTTAGATTTTATCGTTTTCTGACAAGAATGGTCTGAATTAATGGGAATTGTGAAAATCGGCCCAGCGGCTCTCTATTTATAAGCAGAATGAATAAGATCAATTCTTTTACATATGTATTGTAACTATTTTGCTATATATTCGATTTCTTGGCTATTAGCATCACTGTAATGGTCAGTAGTGATCTTTTAATGTATTTGTGATTTGGCTGGGATTGAAAATATTCGCGGTTTAGTGGAAATTTTTCTAGTTTCTTATATAAAAGTTAGGGTATATTTTACCCGCTAGTTATTGTCCGATAGCCGCCCAAATTGGTAGGTTTCTGCCCACTCCTAAACTCTAACTCCATGTAAATTTTCGCGTCGATTGGTTCATAATTGTGGCCTATAGAGCATCTGCAAAATTAGGAAATGTTTCCGATTTTGGTCCATTTCAACCCCTAAATATAGTGCGATCATCTACAAAAACAATAGGGTTCTATTTTGACCATAATCCCACCTCCATTTTAAATTTCGTGAAGATCAGTTCATAATTGCGACCTGTAGCTTGATTACAAATTAACATGGACAGACGGACGGACATACATAGCTAGATCGGCTCATTTCGGCGAGATAGGAAGATCCATATATACTTTCCTATATGCGAAACCACTATTTCGAGGTGTTACATAATTTTTGGCCCAATCAAACTTATAATACCCCCAACACATAGTGTTGTAGGGTATAAAAACAGTGGAACCAAATATAGAAAAAAATTAACTAATTGGGGGAGCAATCTTTGATTAGAGGAACTTCGATTTTTGAAAGGAGAATATTATGGAATTTGTGCTGCAAGAAATCAAATTTTAATAAATTATTTTTAATTTCAAAAAAATCGTAGTGAGTGATGGATAATGAATAAAACTTTGAAATTTAAAAGGAGGGCTCTGTAAGAACTGATGAGACGTAATTTTGGGAAATGCGTAAGTTTAGGGTTTCAAGTTAAAATGGTAGAGCATTGTCCTTGAGCGTTAGATAAGAATGTTATAACTTTAAAATTTTGAACCAAACCTGAGCTAAGGCAAGTGCATTTTTCTAAGGGTACGAAAGCTTCAAAAGTTACAACTATATAATATCGTATAAAGTACAGGTGTTAGTACTTAGTACTTTAAAGCCAAGAAAAATACTTTGTAGAATATACCAAATAGTGCAACATTATGATTAAAGATCTCAAGAAGCTGTAAAATATTAAACGGTAGAAAATAATTGCAGAATTATAATGGAGCGATCAGAGCTATAACTCAGAAGTTTTAAATGCGAACTGTGATAAAATGAAATTTTGCCGTAATTCTTGCTTAGAGGCAACGAAAAAAATTGTTCAAAGTTGTAATGAATCCATCATTACAAGCTAGAATGTAGAGATTTAGCCCAGAATCACAACTTATGTATGCAAGCGGTCGTTTGATAAGAGCATGAATAATATGCCTAAGTTGCAATGTGTTAGTAATATATGTTATATATACATATATTTGTATGTGTCTTCATGTGTTGAAGCTATTTTAATGCACACTGCATTCATCTCGAATCATGTATTCTGAGAATATTTTTAAACTACAATTTTGGCTTGGAATTTTTGACAGGGGTGAGGTAAGACTCGATTTTTGGAAGTTCGAATAATGAGTATATTTGTATCATAGCTGTACCAAAGGTTTTTTGTTGAAGTTCGAACTAAAAATGTACAAAATAGCGGTTCAGATTCCAGGGTTCTCTTGACGAAATCCGTTTCAGAATTTTTGGAATAGATCTAATACCTATCTCTGGAAGGGAGTATTCGATTTCGTTCAAACATGGTACATAGTAATAATACAATTAAAATTAGATCGAGTTCAAAAGTGAGCAATAGCGGACCACTCCTTCTGGTACCTTCCCTACAAGAGGTCAAAAATTTATAGAAAGTTAAAAGGGTCTTTGATTTAAACATTGCAAATTATAATAATTTTATCAGTGTTAGGTCAAGTTCGAAAAAAAATTATATCATTCACTCTACTACTACTTTATCTAATACTTATTAAAACATTGGGATGTGCAAAATTTAAAGAAAATAAAATATATATTGGCAATTTTTTCTGAATTAAATTAAATTAAATTTAATGAGAATCGTATGTTTATTTGGCATTTTATAAGTGTAACAATTATTAAAAATTTTGATAATTTCTGGGAAAGGTGTCAATAGGAGAGATCCGATATATTCACGGGTAATCTTGGCAATCCGAGTTTGAACGTGATCGTATGCTCATTTCATTTTTTATGAGCTTCATGGTTATTCAAAATTTTGACCCGTTGTGAGGGACGTACTGGAAGGAGTGGAGCAATATTTTCCATATATACAAATGATCTTCTATTGATGGAAATATTGAGTTGTGTGAAATTTGAAGAAAATCGGATGTTTTTATTTCGGATTTTATAAAACTTAAAATAACATAAAATAATTTTTGATCCTTTGTGGGGGAGGTACTTGATGGAGTGGAGTTTTTTCATTTTCGCAACTGCCGTAGAACTGATAAACATATGGGGACTTGCAAATTTCGCACACAATTGCATGATAATTTCTCTCACTTTAAAGTAAATTATTTTCTGTGTTTTTTTTTCCTTTTGTTCGGGAGGTATCAAAAGCAGTGGACCGATATTGCCCATTTCCGAATTACGATATATCAAGTTTACGTCAAATCGGATATTAACTTCGAGAGTTATCGAGCGCTGCAGCCAGACAGACAGACGGACGGACACCTCTATATCGACTCGAAATGTCCTGAAATGGATTTGGTCCAAAAAGATCTATGGTCTAAAAACGTTATTTCGATGAGGCCGTTTTGCCCGTTGTGAATGATATATGCCATAGGCTGAGGGTACAATAATTAAAAAATAATACTTATTCAGAGATGTTTCCTTTAACTTCACACAATGGTATTTATAAGACAGGTCCTCTGGTTCCTTCCCTACAAAGGGCCTATATGGAATGTGAAGGGCTAAACTTTATTGTACGTCACAAAAAAGTGTATGGTGTAGTGTAAGTAATGGTCAAATGATTAGAGTCTATATGTGCTGGCAAAACCTCTTTATGCTGTTTAACTTATTTTATGTTCAGCTTTTTTCAGAACTTTCAACTCTCTTCCGACTTTTGAGTACAAATGTTTTAGGAGCAGGTTGTTATATATTAACAATTTTATTTGTATAAATAGATCCAGTACAGTACCTGCAAAAAATCTACTGGTTTTACCATCTTTGCAATTTTATCTCTCAGAAACCTGAAGCCGTATCGCAAAAAACTTCAACAATTTTGAGCAAAACTAGGAGAAATTAAACGAAAATAGCTTTCAATTAGGCTTTTTTAAAAACGCGTTACCAAAGAAATTTGGTAAAATAGAAAATATAGTATGATTGCTAAATATGGATTTTAGTAGATTATCTAAAACAAAAATCACGTGCATCTTAAAAAAATATAATTTCTATAAAAATATTTTCTTAAAAAATATTAAATAAAATAATTTGTTTTATGATTGAAATGTATGTTAAACCAGTGAAATGTAGATAATAATAACAACAATAAAAATTTTGTAAAATCAATTTCATTCTCTTCGATAAATCAAATCATAAAACATTTGTAAAAGTAAAAAAAAAAATGTAGAAAATAATACAATACAAAAATGTCATAAATAATTAAGCCAATTATAAAATTAATTCTGAAAATTTGTTTTAAGAAAGAGCTATACACCTTTCGCTGCACAGAAACAACATTTCAATCATAAAAACCTAACCAAAAAATATTAATGATCCTTGTTTGGGATGGCAAGTAAAGTTAAATGAAAATTAAAAAGAAAACTAAAATAAATACTAAATTTGCAAAATGTTTTTAAATAAAATATTCATAAAACAAGAACAACAAACAAAAAATAATCATTGAAATCTTGTTTCTGTGTCGTTAAAGGTTGTGGCCACCACTAAACAAACGAACAAAGCCAACTCATCCTACGGCCAAGCTGGTGTCACCCAATAACAACCGCTAAACAAATAGATGCCCCCACCCAAGCCGAGAAGCGGAGCAAAGCAACAGCCATAGGGGATTCTGAAGAGGAAGGAAACAACACGAATAAATTATGTGCCTGAATTTTTAAAACATACAACAACAACAACAACAAACAAGCCCTAACTATATACAACAACAAAAGAGCAAGAATAGAAAACCCCAAAATTATGGAGGCTGATTGTTAACTCTTTTTTAATTCAATTCAAATTCATGCCAATTTGAATCGAATTATTTCAAATCCCAAAAAAACTTTTTTGAAGTACAAAACGAAAAGGAGAGGAAAAAATATCAACCCGAACCCTAGCATTTAAGACAAGCAACAACAACAATTTAGTTAATTTACCCTTTTAAGAACCCACACCGCGAAAAAGAGAACACAGCCCACAAAATGTCTTCGTTTACCATACCCGTCATCAATCTGGAGGTGAAAGAGGTGAAGGAAATCGTCTGGGAAAAAATCCAGGAACCGGTCAATCAACGACGTCTGGTACTGGTCATTGTATCGATTGCCCTGCTGCTAGACAATATGTTGTATATGGTGATAGTGCCTATCATACCCGACTATCTGAGAGAGATTGGCAGCTTCGAAGTGGATGAGGTAACGCCTGGACCCATACGTGATAATCGCACAGGTGCCATAATACCCGTCCATCATGACCATCATGGGCAGGACTCGGCCACGGGTATACTCTTCGCCTCCAAGGCCATTGTCCAGCTAATGGTGAACCCCTTCTCCGGAGGACTTATCGACAAGATTGGCTACGACATACCCATGATGATTGGTCTCACAATTATGTTCTTCTCGACAGCTGTCTTTGCATGCGGCAGCAGCTACAGTGTCCTGTTCTTTGCACGGTCTCTACAAGGAGCTGGTTCAGCATTTGCTGATACCTCTGGCTTGGCTATGATTGCCGATCGCTTTACCGAGGAAAACGAACGTTCGCAGGCCCTCGGTATTGCCCTGGCCTTCATTAGCTTTGGCTGTCTGGTGGCACCGCCATTTGGTGGGGCACTTTACCAGTTCGCTGGCAAGGAAGTGCCCTTCCTGATATTGGCTCTGGTGTGTCTGATAGACGGCCTAATGCTGCTGCTTGTAATGAAGCCAGTCAAAGAACAGCTGGCCCAGAGCAGAGAAGTCAAACAGGAGACCATACCCATTTGGCGTTTGCTAATGGATCCCTATATTGCTGTGTGTGCCGGCGCCCTGACCATGTCCAATGTGGCGCTGGCCTTTTTGGAGCCCACCATTTCGCTGTGGATGGAGGACAACATGACAACGGATAACTGGAAAATCGGCATGGTATGGCTGCCGGCCTTCTTCCCCCATGTCTTGGGTGTGGTGATCACCGTGAAAATGGCCCGCAAATATCCCCAACATCAGTGGCTGATGGCGGCGGGCGGCCTGGCCCTAGAAGGTCTCTCCTGCTTTATCATACCCTTCTGCAGCTCCTATAAAATGCTCATGATACCCATTTGTGTCATATGCTTTGGCATCGCCCTCATCGATACTGCCCTCTTGCCCACACTGGGCTATTTGGTGGATGTACGTTATGTGTCGGTATATGGTTCGATTTATGCCATTGCCGATATCTCGTATTCGATAGCCTACGCCGTGGGTCCCATTATTGCGGGAGGCGTGGTTGAGGCCATCGGTTTTACAGCATTGAATTTCCTCATTGCCTTTTCGAATTTGCTCTATGTTCCGGTCTTACGGAAATTGCGTAACATTTACGATTTCAAACCATTCGAAAATGAGGCGAATATTCTAATGCAAGATCCACCGAATAAGGAATATCAGACCTATGTGATGCAGGATCAACAGCCTGTGGATGGAGAGTTCAAGAATCATCTGGAATATGGGCAGCAATATCAGCAGGAGCAGGAGACCAATTTGGATGAGGCGGGTAACTATGATTATCAGTCGGCTCAGGGTGGGGGCTATCAGCAGCAAGGTGGCGGTGGTGGTGGGGGTTATCAACAGGATTCGCAATATCAACAATCATATCAGCCGGGCTACCAGGAGCAGGGTGGCATGTATCAGCAGCAGCAGCCCAGCTCAGATGGCAGACATCTTCCTCAACAAAGAATGGCAAATCCCTTTCAACAGCAACAGCAGCAACAACAACAGCCGGCCCCAGCACCAAGTGGTCCAGCAAATCCCTTCAGACAAGGATTTTAAACTGTTGTCTTACACAAAATTAGCGGTAATTTATTTTTGTTTCTATTTCATTGATCGTTTAGCATTGAAATTTCGTTAAAAAGAGAAAACCCCCCAAAAAAGAAAGAAAGAAAAGAAAAACGAAATAGGCGTTTCTAATAGTTAAATAAAAAAATATGTTTTTGTTGAAAGTTTTTTTGTCTTCAGTTAAATATAATTAACAATGTTAATGGTTAAACTAAAATTAAAAATAACAAAAGAAGTGGTTCTATTACACTATAACATAGTTAAATCTTATAAGAAAAAAAAACATAAAACCAAGAAAAATAACTAGATAATCTAAAAAAATTACCAAATGCAGAAGATAACCCACTTTTTTATATAAAAATGTATTATACACCAATGAAATGATATCTATATACAAAAAATTTTCCCCCCAAAAAACACATTCACACAATTTATTCTACTCTCCTATCCTATTTGTCTTATAACAAAAAAAGTATAATATTTAAATATATATATTTATAAGTTATTGAAAAATAAAACCCATGTATTTATCAATTAGTTGTAAGGAAAACAAAAATGCCCCCCTCAAAGAAGCAACAACCATTATCACAAACATATCATTAGGATTTAAGGCATACTTTTAGGCAAAACAAATATTTATATATATACTCAATATATAAAACATATAGTTATACACATTCACTTCAAATATATCAAATGTATGTTTGGCATATGTACATCATCACGGCATAAAAAGCTTATGTGGCACACATACATAAAATGAATACATATATAACATACATATGCATTTTCTATTTACATATCAATCTTGAAATGCAAATCGAAAAATTATCATAGTTGTAGGAAAAAAAAGAGAAATATATTAGAATATTTTATGAGTTTAAAAAGAGTTATTTATTTTTACAATTTATTTTTATTATGCTAAGGAGGAGATTTTGTAAAGAGAAAGGAATTGTTTCGTAAATGTGAAAGACCCTAGGGCATTATGGGCGTATACATATTATTAATTGGTTGCCATAAATCATACGCAACATAGGATATTAGTATTCAACGAATGTCTTGTTTTTAGGAGAATTGAAATAAAGAGAAATAACATATTTTTTCAAATGAGCAGTGAGGAAATGATCCTGGTACGACCGCACAACCTGTATTTTTAACCCAATAAATATTGATGTATGAATAGATATTGATGTATGAATAGATGTATCTAAATATGCCAGAAACTCGATTTTAATCCTTTTAATTCTGATATATTCCAAAAACATTAGGCTTTATGTACACATTTGGATGAATACTTATTAATCACCAGAAATGAGCTATGTTTTCCAAATCACTATTGCCCTGTAAAGAGAGGGGTAAAAAAATAATTATCCCCCACGATAAAAAAATATAACCCCTGTTTATTAGTTCGAGTTCCAAGTATATGCCAGTGCAATTGACCGGAAAACATGGACAAAGTTTTAAAAAAAAATCCAAGTATATGATGTTAATAGCTTTTTACCAACGTAAATTTTTTATTAATATCTTCAAAATGCCGAAAAATCGGGTGATATCGTTATATGTGGGATATAGGTATTTGAATTTTTGGCCTACAAGGACAGTACTGAATTTCAGGCTCTAAAAGTACAAAATGGCCATACAAATGCTCTGGATGAACACCTATTTTTTTTTTTTTTTTTTTGCAAGGAGGTTTTTCACCTCATTTATTAGGGGATATGCCATATTGCAGGAATTTAGTCCGCAAATCGAGGTTAAGGTCTTCAAGTTTCCAAAATCGGGCGCTATTTTTTTATACGAGCTATAGGCATCTAAGAAGTAAATTAGGACGGCAAGGATGGTAAAAATTCAAACTTGTAAACAACAAAAAGGTATTAAAAACAAGTTAAAAAGTATCAGTCGGTATTGCCGACAGATATATACCCTCAGCCTATGTTCGATTAAATAATCGAAATATATTTGACTAGTGTTACAATTATTCAAACCTTTGACCCTCTATAGAGCCGGTTCCGAAGGAATGGGCCAATATTGTCCATTTTGTATCAGACCCAAAAATATGATATAAATATTCCAACGTTCCTGGTATGGATTATATTGACTCACTCCTTCACTTTTTATGAGATATGTAATAATTTTTAGAAAATGTTAAAATGTGCGTGATGTACCATATAGAGTCGACCGGAATATTCCATTTTTATACTTCATCTGATACAGATAAAAAATATTGAGCGAAATATTGGGCTAAATTACAAGAAAGTATATTTATATCCAATTATATGCGAAATCATAAATTCCGATAAATGTCATATTCATATCAGGCTTCTTATTGAGAGAAATATTTGAGCATAGCAAGTAATAAAGAATTGCTAAATTGTTTCGAAAGTTATGACAGATAAAATTATTGAAAATTGTGACCCTCTGTGGGTGAGGTACCAGAAGGGGTTCGCAGATATATATCAACTTCATAACAGGTCTTGTGTTAGCAAAAAAAATTTATGTGTGAAATTTGAAGAGATTTGGATGCTTATCTCGCTTTATTTGAGCGTTTTGTTTTTCAAAATCTTGAACCTGAGTATGGGGGAGGTACCAGAAGAAATGGTTCGATCTATACCACCTTTATAACAGATCTTGTTTTGATAGAAATATTGAGATGTGCCAAGTCTAAATGGAATCGGATCTTAATGTGGCGCTTTATGCGCATTCATTATTATCTCGCTTTATTTGAGCGTTTTGTTTTTCAAAATCTTGAACCTGAGTATGGGGGAGGTACCAGAAGAAATGGTTCGATCTATACCACCTTTATAACAGATCTTGTTTTGATAGAAATATTGAGATGTGCAAAGTCTAAATGGAATCGGATCTTAATGTGGCCCTTTATGCGCTTCATGGGTATTCAAAATTTCGACACTTTGTGGGGGAGGTACCAGAAGGTGTGGACCGATACATTCCATGTTAACAGCAGATCCTGGGTTTATAAAAATATTGGAATGTATGAAATTTGAAGACGTTCGGATCCTTACATCACATTTTATAAGAGTTATAATTATTCAAAATGTTGACCCTTATGGGGTAGGTACTTGATGGAGTGGACCGGTACTGTCCATTTTAGCACCTGACCTAGCACTGACGCAAATATTAGGATTTGCAAAGTCAGAGCAAAATCGGATAACCGTTTCTCCTTCTGTGCAAAAAATATATTTTATATATATTTTTTGAAAATTTCGACCTTTTGTGGGGGAGGTACCAAAAGGAGTGGACCGATGTATTCCCTCTTAACACCAGACCTTGGGTTAATAAAAATATTGGGATATGTGAAATTTGAAGACAATCAGACTTTTACTTGACTTTTTATAATAGTTGTAATTATTCAAAATGTTGACCCTTTGTGGGGGAGGTACTTGATGGAATGGACCGATATTATCCATTTTCGCACTTGACCTAGAACTGATGCAAATATAAGGATTTGCAAAGTTTGAGCAAAATCGGATTATTGCTTCTCTTTATGTGCAGAAAAACTATTTTTTTTTTGTTTTTGAAAATTTCGACCTTTGTGGGGGAGTTACCCGAAGAAGTGGACCGATATATTCCATTTTCACACCAGACCTTGTGCTAATAAAATTATTAGGGTGTGTGAAATTTGAAGACAATCGGACTCTTACATCACATTTTATAGGAGTTGTAATTATTCAAAATTTTGACCCTTTGTGGGGTAGGTACTTGATGGAGTGGACCGATATTGTCCATTTTCGCGCCTGACCTGCAACTGATGAAAATATAAGAATTCGCAAAGTTCGATCAAAATCGGATTATCCTCTCTCTTTCTGTGCAATAAATTATTTTCTTTGAAAATTTTGACATTTTGTGTGGGAGGTACCAGAAGGAGTGGACCGATATTGCCCATCTCCGAACTCGATCTAAGTTTGACAAAAATATTACGATGTACCAAGTTTGGATCAAATCGGATACTCCCTTCGAAAGTTATCGTGCGCACCAGCCAGCCAGACAGACAGACAGACAGACAGACGGACGGACGGACGGACGGACGGACATCGGTAGATCGACTCCAAATGTTCTGAAACGGATTTGGTCCAAAGAGACCTAGGGTCTAAAACCATTATTTCGACTAGGCACGTTTTGACCGTATCAAATGATATATACCCTCTGTAGCCATATGGCTGAGGGTATAATGAGGGCAGCCATGTTATGATGGGGCTATACTGTAGACGAATATGTGTCTCTTTTTTTAAAGAAGCTTTTAATCCCTCAAAAAAATGGAAAATGTTGCAAAACATACATTTAAGCCATAATTGCGGTTAAAAATGCAAAAATCGGCAATTATAGACATATCGATTTTACAATGATCCTATTTAAATATATATTTTTTTGGGGTTTTACCATAAAAATTACTCAAAAATTTTATAGCCTCAAATCTTCAGTTGTGAGAGAAGAACGAACTCCCAATTGAGGAATATCGGACTTAGAATGAAAATAAAATCTACCCTCTGATTTTTATAAGCCCGTTAACAAAGACCATTTACAATTATTTAAGCCGATTCGTTAACGTTGAGCCAATTTCAACGGCCTGGAGGTAAGATATTTGAATCGGAGTTTATGACTCCATAGAGTATAAATCCCAGGTTTGCAGTAGCCACTAATAAAATATCCACTACCAACAACAAATACGAAACATAAAAAATTCATCAAAATATTGATTATCGGGAGGTATCGTTATATGGGGCTATACCATTACATGGACCTACATAAGTAATTGTTACGAAAGGAACGTCAGAAAATGGAAATGAAGCGAGGAACCTCAATTTGTAACCATTCTTGGGTGGCACGTGCTGAGTGTGATGGTGCTGAGTCCTGTTGAAAGGTTCAAGGTCTGCAGCCAAAATTTTTGGGTGCCCAAGGCTTTAATATGTTCAGCTCAAGAGCCATTTTTCGGCCACTGCGACCAGGGGTTTCGATCAAGTCGCATCTTTATTTTTCGAACCATTTCTGCTGATGTTGCTGTTTTCTTTCGTCCACTTCCTTGACGTCGGGCTACACTACCACGATATCACGGTAACGGGCGATGGTACGAGACACAAAAGATTTATTCACATTTAAAGTGTGCTGGAGAGCTCTAACGATAGCCACTTGTGGTTTTCCAGCCAAATATAAAGAAGTTATAGTGTTGTATAGTGGCCGACTATAGCAATGGCTTTCTGATTCAAACCTATAAATATTGAACTCCCAGTAGTGATTTTATTTAAAGAAGTTAATAAAAGTTTGAAACTCTTCGCCAATAAAAATATCGTCTTGGTCGGTCTCGAAACAAACCTCCAACCGGGGCTCCAATTGGGTTGGTCAAAAAATCTTGTCAAACTTGTAGAAAAACTCATGTCGAAGATATGTGTGGAGATTACAAATTCCAAAAATATACATTTAATGGTTCAAATTTGATAAAATATGTAAAAATAGCAGCTTCTCCCTATATCTCTTAAACCGGCGCAATATTATCTATGAAATATGGTACACAACTTTTCAGTACAGTCGGGAATATAGCCCATCTAAAAATGTCGATATTTTAAAATATTAAAAAAAAAGACGAAGTCAATTTTTAGAAAAGAAACTATTTACCACCCATTCAGAGACAAACGAAGCAATTTCTGTCTACAAACAAAATCTCCTACTTACGTAATTTTTATCAATAATACTCAACTAGAAAAGTATTATATCCCCGTGAATTAAGAAAACACAAGACATGCCATATTAAGCTTACTTTTGTATATTACCTTCACCAAAATGGAATCAGTAACAGAATCTCAAATAACATTTAACAAAATAGTTTATAAATTAACCAAAATGAAAAAGAAGCAAGCTAAACAAACCA